GAGAGAGAGAGAGAGAGAGAGAGAGAGAGAGAGAGAGAGAGAGAGAGGGATTGAGTGACTGAGAAAGCGAGAAATGGTTTTTGTACCGGCACAAATGAAAAATTCGATTTTTTTTTATCCGAAAAACGAATGGGAAGCTAAGATGGATAGCGACGGAAAAATGAGAATATAATTTTTTTTTAAAGGTTCGCTGGCGAATGCCAACGGCAAATCGCAACAATAAAAACAATAATGCTTCGTAGCCGTATTTGAATATCAAAATACTTATCACAAAGTAATTTAAATATAGATTTCGATTCGCATTACATTATTTGTGCATTGGCTTACCTCGGTCTGTCGGCATATCTCGGTGGTTGACGAAGCAGAAACGCGCGTGCAAGATATGCGACTCGAACCGAGTCATCTACCTCCTCGTTTCCTAAAATACCACCAGCAGAAGCAGTAGCACAAAACACCAACAAAATGGATCGAAAGGAAGACGAAAAATGGCTAATCTGCATCAGAACCCATGATTACGTTTGATTAATTCGATTCGCATTTCGGGGTCTTCGTTTCCATGTAAATGTCGTTTTGTTACGTAATAATCAATTTTTTTTTTCCCTCTTCTTAACTTATCCTAGGTATTGTCATACGGTCAGATGGTATGCATCATCGGAGCACCGCACATCACACAAATTCTCTCTGTCTCGCTCTCACTCTCACTCTGCCTCACACGCAAAACGAACCAATTTTCATTCACAGGTGAATCACACAGAATATGCTTGGCTATGTACGTTATGCCCTTGCCGCGCATATTATTATCGCACCCATACGAAAAGTTAATTAAATTTAAATCTTTTTTTTACAACGCTCCAAAAGATTAACAAAAATCATTAATGACAGCACAATTTTTAATTAACGTTCTTTGTTTTAATGACATTTCTGCCATCCTGGATTTTACATTTTTTGTTTCCAATGTGCGTTTTATTTTCGAAATATTGTCAACAACCATTCGAAAACAAATCGAAAACACCAACAAAGATTACTTTTATCAATGTTGCCTTGGAATTTTATGCGAACGCCAACATCTTTCAACATTTTAATACGACGGCTTTTCCCGAACAAAATGTGTTTTTATTTACATTTTGATGGAACATTTTTAATGGATTTTTTGAAAACCAATGAGTTGATAACTTTCAACACAACTATTATTCTGCTTTGTTGTTGATGGAATTTTAATCAAATATATGAACAATTTCTTGGAATATGAGTTCGAACGCACGTTTGGAATTAATTGGATTCATAGTTGAATCCGATTGTTGTTGAAAATGGGAAAAAGATAACATGCTACCTTGAGCTGTATGAATCATCATGTGCATTTCATAGGAATTCCAAAGACCAGAAAAAAGTTTCGGATGAATTTAAATTTCACGTAAAAACAGAAAATATTTTCCAAAAACTTCATCTCTGGCTTTTGTGCAGCACTTATTAAAACTTGATATTTCTTGTTTCAATAGGGTTTGAAATGTCGGAAAGGGAACGTCATCCTTTGAAATGCTTACATTTTGAATTTATTTAGTTAAATTAAGAATGCAAATGCGGTAGTATTACAGTAAAACTTATAAATTGTTGTTAATACGTACATCAATATGTACGGTGCGTCGAACGAAAATTTGCATTGAACCACAGACACGAGTAGAAGTTTTCGTTTTTTAATTTTACTTTTTTGAGTAGCATCAGCGAAAATTTGCGGCATTTCCTCTGTTGTTCGCATCCAAATGGTACATCGAATGATGTAGTAGCGATATATATCCTGAATATTTCATCTCGACTTTTTATAAGCCGTTTAATGAAAGTTGTTGGTTTATTGAAACTTAATTTAATTAGATTCGTAACACTACCGACACGAGTTTAACGAGTTGGAATTCGAATAAATTCCACAAATTTCAAAAATATTTAATACTTTTGTCGGTAGAAGAGATTAAATGGTCGCATTTTGCGCGATTATAGCAAAGGCAACAAACAAGCATGTGAATATTTCACTTATATTTTATTTCGACAAATTGACCGAGCTGGGTTTGATTGATTGAATAATTACGAATTGTACTGGAGAGGATCACATTTGACTTGCACTTTATCTTTCGGTTGGGCTTATTGAAATAGAGTTTATGAATTTATGAAAAAAATCTCACATTTGATTAAAATCGCTTAGCAAATGCCTGGCACTGAATCAAAACTTGAATTAAATTGCTTTCGATATGGATAATTGCAGCATTGTAGAGATGGGAAAAGGGTTTTTCAAGAAGTCACGGTTCGTAATACAAACTTTGTATTAGGCTTCTTCCTCACGGAAACGTAACACGATCAATATGATATGAAATATAGTTAGATTCTGTTGAGCCATATATATGGTGAGCTATAGCTCAGCATGGTGCGCCATTTATATTGCATTTCAAAGAAAACCACTTTTTTTTTATACATTTCGTACAGAACGCCCCTGGAATGCCACGATTATTCCCTTTATCGCAATTAATAAACATAAAACTTTTTTTTATAGTTCTCGACTCACTCCAAAAAAGAATTCCAAATAAACTTGGAGTACCTAGAACAGTACCTGAATTGATGCACAATTCAACCTGTAATTTTCAACATCCAAAGAAAATTCCACATCACTTTATACATTGTTCGACCGAAGCTGGGTCTTTATGTTGATTATTTCCTCGAACTAACATTTCGGTTTAGTATTTGCACACTTACTTCACATTATAATGATAATTTTCAATTTTAATCGATTTCCCTTACATTGTCAAGCAAATAATTACCTTGCGTACCATCATGCACTTAGACCTCCAACACTTTTTACATGCATACATATTACGGACAATCAAAGCGGTGATTATTTAATTAATTGAATACATTTCCTGTAGTTATTTCACTTATGGGTGATTGAATGTGCTGCAATTGAATCTGGATTCGAGAGTTCCAATTAAATTAGATTTGAAGCTTACTTAGAGGACACAACATTGATGCATCGGTAGATGCCGTCACTTGAAATAATTAGTCTGTTCGATTTGAGTCTCAAGCATTTTTTTAAAGTTAAAGTCTGGTTCGAAATAAAAAAAAAACCTTAGCATATGCTTGTATTAACATGAACATGCATAAAAAGTATCATCGAAGCAATGAATCAAAAATGGCTCTGCACATTCCTGTATGAGGTAAAAGGGAATTCTTCATTATTTGAAATTCCATTTATGCAGAACTAGGAAGTTGTATCAATGTGTATGGTAGCTTTTGTGTGAAATTTGCGATTATCATTCCCTGTAAATATGCACACACACAAATTGTTTACCATTCAATCATGTTTCATGTGTCGCTATAAGAGGTTTTCATATATGGAATAAGAAAATAATTGGAAAAATAAACGATTTCAAAGCAAAATCATATAGGTATCTTACGAATGGCTGTTATACACATGAGCAACAAACATAAATCTGTATGTGCCGTATAGTGCTGTATAATAGAAATGCTTCGTGTAAAATGTTCCAAATCGGATTTGTGATGACGAAAATGTGAAAAATCACTCAAAGCACATAAATACAAATGCATCTTCGTCAGCAGAATGAATATATATAGCAATAGAGAAACACATTGGGAGAAGGAAAGCTAGAAATCGTCGAATTTTAATCTTGACTCAAGTCATTTATGTTATTTGATTCCGTTATGCATGAAAAACTGGCAAATCGAACCAATTTTGTGGAGTGGGTGGAAGCAATCGTTGTTTATTTATGCATATAACCGGTAACAGTCAACAGTTACGGATTGAACTGATTTGGTTCGCATAAAATCATTTGTAAAATTGATACGAATAAATGCGATAGAGTATGAATTCTCGAATGTGTGCATGTTCGTTCGTTCGTTCATTCATTCACTCGTTCCTTGCATTTGCCGGCTTCAGTGATGCACAAAATGTTTTGCAGTGAAGAAATATTGGAGCTAAATGCTATTGCTCTCTGTACTGTGCGATGATGCTGTGTGCTGTTGCAATGTAGTTTACAATTTGGTTTTGCCTTTTTCTTTGTTTGATTGTCATTATTCCATTTTCCAATCTGCATAAATTCAAATTCCATGAGCCCGAGGTGGAATGGAATTTCGTTGATTCATTCTCATTTGTTCGTTTGCACTGATTGAGCGAGCAATTTTAACGAGCATTGAATCAGTTCGATTTATTTGCTGTCTTTTCGCGTGTTCGAATCGAAAATATGCATTGATCTGAATGTTGGTGATGGTGGTGTACACATTGACATTGATCCGGATCGGTAACTCTTATTCACCATTATACGTATTATTACAACAGATTCGCTGCACTTTGGATACGGTTGTGTATGAAAGTGAGGCTCTTTCCCGCTCAAACAACATCGTAATCATT